TCCGGGAGGGACTTGCGCCCCCCCCCGACGGGGGCGCTCCCGGGTGCCGCCCTGCTACCCCCAGCGCTGCCGATGGAGACGACAATTTCAGACGACCGATCGAACCCCAAACGTCTTCTGCGACGCATGCGGGCGTGGTCCCTTCGACCGACGGAACGGCAATGGGGGCGCGTGGGTTGACCCGGAGACGCGGTGGCTCGTCGTTGCCGCTAGCAGGTTGGAGTGCTACAAGAGGGGGCAGGATTGTCGATGACATTGCATCTCCTGTTGGAGACCTAAGCCTGGGCGCCCTAGGCCTTCCCATGCTTCCACTTGGCTGGCGCCGCCAGCGCGCCGCCAATCCAGTGCAAATGCGCGCGGCGCCCCCCTGCCGGCCCCCCTCGCGCGCGCCTCCCCGACGCCGATATGCCGCCGTGGAGGCTTCTTCTCCCGCGGCGCAGCGTGCAGGGCCCCGTCGTTCAGCGCGCCGACGACGACGGGTTCGGACGGGGCATCGAGAGCGGGAAATGGTGCTGCAGTGCGACCGCTGCCCCAGCGGTGACCCCCTGCACGAGTGGCCATGTGGGGGGGGCCCCTAGGCCTCCTCATCTTCCGCCTGGGGGGCCAGGCCCAAGACTCTGACGCGCGCGGCCTCCCGCTCTTCCGCGACGCAAGCATTTCTTCGCGGGCCAGCCGTGTCGACGCCGAGTGGCGCTGCGCAAGATGTCTAGTGGATCCCTGGGGCGCGCGCCCAAGTGCCGTCCGGGCGATCCTCGCCCGGGGCGGGCCCCGCGCATTCCCCGCCGCCGCGCCCGGGCGAGGGCGCCTGGCCACTCGCTCCCCCGCCCCCGCGACCGAGGCCCCGACTGCCGCCGCCGGCCAATCGCGGCGCGCCCGTTGACGGGGGGGGCTTCCGGCCCCCCCCCCCGCGCGACGACCCCTGCCGCCTTTTCTCCGACACGCCCCAGTCGAGGCGCCAGGCCTCGCGCCCCCCGGCGCCCGGGCGCCCCCCCGGCGCCCGGGGCGCGCAGGGCCGCGGCGCGCGCCCGGGGGCCGGGGCCCCCCCGACGCCGGGGGGCGACGCCCGCGGACAGATGGCCTTGTCTGCTGACAGCGCACCAGGACAGCACAGCGGGCGGCCCCCCTGGGCCCGGGCCAGCGCAGGGTCGGAACCGCCGCCGCTGGTCGCCCAGCCGCGCGGCGAACAGCTGCGCGCCCAAGAGCCGCGCAAGCCAGGCAAGGGGCCGCAGCGGCGGCAGCCGCGACAGCCCGCAGTCGCCTGTCCGGCCATGCGCACCCGCCCCATCGCGACCCGAGGCGACCGTTGGTGCCGCTCCGCCGGCCGCAGGCACTCGAGAGCGCAGACCTGGCGCTCCAGCCCCGCGACCGCCCGACTGCGCAGCGCCCCCTCCCGGCGGGGAGTCTCCTCGACAGCGCCCCCGCGCTCGCCCCCCCCCCCCCCCCAGTGCCCCGCGCCCAAAGTGAGGGTCATCAGCGACTTCGAATCCCTCGCCCGCATTGCCCGTCAGCCCCTACCGGGCTGGCTGACAATGGCATTGCCCACGCCATGGTGGCGCGCGCCAGGACGCAGCGCCCCCTGCGTTCAGGACGCCTGAAGGGCCTGGACCGCGCGGCGGCGCGAAGAGGCGCTCGCCCGCCAGGGGATCACACGAGGCCCCTTGGCGTGGACATGACCTCTCTGCAACGAGTCCCTCCCCGGCGTCTGCGGCACCACCGCCCCCGAGACAGGGATTCCCAGGGGCGCGGAGTGGGGCGGCAGGCGCGCCGCACTGGCCCACCTCGTCAGCTACCTGCGCAGCCAAAGGTATCAGCCCGCCTCCGCGGGTGACCGCAACGCGGCCGCCCTGTAGCGCGCCTACAGGCATAAACGCGACCATCGCGCAAAGCACAAGGGACGCGACCCCAGCCGGTGCAGCCAGGAGCGGCTTCTCGGCTGCCTGGAGTCCGTAAACATCCGCGACGCGCGCGCTCCTCCGCTAGCCGGGTGCGCCCCGATGGCCGGGTGGGGCGGCAAAGGCCCGACCGCGACAAAATCAGCGTTTCTCCTTCCTGGGCGGTCGCCGGCAACGCGACGTGCGCACTGGGCCCCCGGCAGCCGCGCAACGACAGCCCGTGTGTCGGGGCAGCGCCAGCCCCGCCAGCCCCGCTCGGCTCGCAGCCCCCTGCCGTCTTCCCATCGGGCGGCAGCCGCCAGCGGAATTTGCGGCGCCCCCGCCGACGCTGCCCTCCCGCGCATCGACCGCCAGGGCGCCGTGGCGAACAACGACACCGTTGACCGTGCAGCGGCGGACTTCTCCCCTGACGCTCCCCCGCCCCTCCCTTCCGCCCCGCCCCGCAGGGGCTTCCCCGACGGGGGCCCTTCCGTTCGCTCGTCGCCGCCGGCGAGCCCCGCGCCCCGGGGGCCCGCGCCGCCTGGCCCCCCCCCTCGCGGAGACGGGGCGACGAGTCGGCAGCCCGGAGGGGGGACAGGCAGGCAGAGCAAGCGAATGGCGGGCCCGCGCCCGCTGAGCCCCCCGAAGAACCTGAGCGCAAAGGTCGCGGGCCGCGGAGCACGCTCCGTGCGCTCTTCCCCCGCGGCAGGGGCAGGAGGAAGGCGGCGCCTCCCGCGGGCGCGAGCGGTGGGCGTGCCCTCCCGACCGCGCCCACCGCACGGCGCACCCGCCGCCCCGCTACACCCCTCGCCACGACCCCCACGACTCGCTGCACAACGAGCCCCGCCAGGCAATTTCATGGCATCCAATGTGGAACTATGCGGCTGGGCGGAAGGGCAACTCCGCCTCTAATGGGAGTGCGGCCCCGCGCCGGGCAGGGCGCCGAGGGCTCGCGTGCGACCCAGCTGCCAAGGGGGGCCAGACCCGCGAAGACTTCGCAACCCAGCTCGTCGCCGAAGATTTCGATGTCCGCAACCTGTGCAGGAGACTTGGCGCCAAGGTCAACTGGCAACGGACCTGGGGCAACGAGATGCAAAGAGGGGGCGCCTTGCCTGGCTGGGCAAGGGCAAATGGGGGGGGCCCAGAGGCCCGCTGGAAAGGCGAGCGGCGCGCCGACTCCGCCCGGCCTAGCAGTGGGCGCTCCAGGCAGTGACGTCGCGGTCCGAACCGACCCCGCCAAATCCCACGGCGCCTGGGCCGGCCCCATCCATGCCGCAGCGTTAGCCTCGACGTTGCTCGAGCCGCTGCTTCGCGTGCCGCAGGCGGCCGCTTGCGCATTCAACTGCCCCGCGCTCTCCCGCCCGGGCGCGCGCCCTGTCCCCTGCCAGGGCTGGGCCGAGCCCCGCCCGCTGACAGCGCGCTAGTTCGGTGCCGCCTCCCCTCCTGCGCCCCGCTGGCCGACCTTCCCCCGGTCGCCGCGGCTGCCGCCCCGCTGCCTCTGGTGCGTCTTCCGCCCTGCAGCCCTGCGTCCTCGGCGCCTGTCGTCCGCTGGGCCGACCTAAAGTGAGACCGTCCTCCTTTCGCCTTGGTCTCTGAGCTGTTGGCCCTGGCGCTGGGCTCTCCGGTCCGGCGCGGCGCCCGTGGCCCGATGGCTGGGTTCCAGCTTTCTCTTACTCGCGTGCCCCAGCCGGCGGCGCCGCGGCTGACTCTGGCTCGCTGGCGTTGCTCAGCGTCTAGCCTCGCCAGCGGTTTGGTTTCTCCTGTGCTGACCGTGCTCCAGTTCGGTGCTTGTCGCTTCAGCTGCCCCCGCGCTCGCGGCCAGCCTGCGTCTTCCTGGCCCGCTGGCCGCCCCCCTTCTTTGCCGCCTCGGCCTGCTCGTTTTCGGGCGTTTCCTTCTCGCGAGGAGGAATCGCCTCGACTGTCGCCCGCTTCGGCAGCACGCGGACCGCGGGGCGGATTTCTCGCAAACCCAGGGGTCCTGCCCGCCCCGCCACCGCGCGCGTCCTGCCGGCGCGCCAGCCTGCGGCCCGGGCCCTGCCTCGAGGCCGCCTCAGCGTCTCCCTGCGCGTCGGACGCCTAGCGGCTCCCGGCCCGCCAGGCCCCCCCTTCTTTCTCATTTTTCCTGGCCCTCCGCTTCCGGCCCTGCGTCTGCCAATGTGCGTCAGTTCGGTGCCCTTCCCCAGCGGCCCCCGCCCTTGCGACGGAACCGCTTTTCGGCTCTCTGGCCGCGCCCCCGCCTCTCCCTGGGGTCCTGGACTGGTTCTGCCGCCCGCGCCCCGCCCCGCCCCCGCCTCCGCCTTGCCTGGTTTCCAGGCCGACCCCTCACCTAGAGGCAGCCTCGCACTGGTCGCCGCTGGCCCGATTGCTTATTACGTATGTCACGCGTGCCATCCCCTGGCGTCCGCCAGCCCCCGGCGTTCTTCGTGTACACCTTCGTCACCAGCCCCTGCTGGGCATTGCCCCCCCCCGCACCGGCTCCCCCCCAGCCGCCGGCTTGCCGCTGCTGGCCCCTGGCCCCCAGCGCCGCCCCTGCAGCGCGCCTGGCCCCGCTCTGAGCGGGCCCGGCTTCTTCCCTCCCGCCGCCGCCAGGTTGCTCCTCCCTCCTCCTCCTGCATGGTGGCCTAATTCGCGTTCGTACATCTACGACGCCTCATCGCCAGCGCAGCGACTCAGCTTAACCGCCGACGGAAAACGTGTGTGTTTATGTGCTTGCGTGTTTGTGTGTTGGTGTGTGTGTGTGTGCGTTCGTGTATTTTTGCTCTGCAAGACCAAGAGGGAGTTCAACTAAGTGTGGCTGTGCTGCCTACTGTCTTCGGCGCGTTCGGCAAATCAATATGCTGCACATCGAGTGAAAGGGCGTAGTACAAACTTTCATCACCTGCACGTGGGGAGCATGTGCTCCTCTCATTATCATGCGGCACTTCCCTGCTCGTTGAAATGTCATCCTCAAGGGTCACACATGCAAATTGTGGCACTGCGAGATAGTCCTCCGATATCAACGCGTGTGCGCAAGTGTCGGTTATCAGTGACATTGACCCCCCTGCAAATTCGCGGGAGGAAATGTGATATTCTTCCTGTTGGTCGGTTGCTTTTGTCGAACACCCCGCGGAGATTAGGAGGAGGACGGGGATGAGGGAGCACGACAAGGACATTCTCGATTTGCTTTCCGCTGGCGGCCTACTCCACAGCGGCTCGGTGCCCGTGGAACCCGCGCCCCTGAATCTCCACCCCCCGCCCGCCATGGCCCTGGTTCTGCCCGACTTCTCCGCGAAGGCGCCCGGGGGCATCGTCATTTGCCACAGGAGCAAGAAGGCATGATAATGATACCTTCCGAGGTTTTCTGGTTTTCGTTTTGTTCCGCGCTGACTCTTGGGTAGAATGTTGCCAGATATTAGGACATTCCTGGAACGTCTCCTGCGCCCATCGCACCGTGGCCTTATTCTCTTTCTAAGTTACGTCACAGGGTTGCGAAGAGGAGGAATGGGAGGAGGAGGGGGAGGAGGAGGAGGAAAAGGAGGAGGAGGAGGAGCAGGAGGAGGAGGATGAGGAGGAGGAGGAGGAGGAGGAGGAGGAGGAGGAGGCGGAGGCCCACGAGGAAAAGGAGGAGGAGGAAAAGGATGATGATGATGTGATGATGATGATGATGATGATGATGATGATGATGATGATGATGATGATGATGATGATGGGACGACGACGACGACGCGACGACGACGACGATGATGATGATGATGATGATGATGATGATGATGATGAGAGGAGGGAAGAGGAGGAGGAGGAGGAGGAGGAGAGGAGGAGGAGGAGGAGGAGGTGGAGGAGGAGGAGGAGGATGGTGGAGGAGGAGGAGTTGGAGGCGGAGGAGGAGGAGGAGGGGGAGGAGGGGGAGGAGGAGGAGGAGGAGGAGGAGGAGGAGGAGGAGGAAGAGGAGGACGAGGAGGAGGAGGAAGAGGAGGAGGAAAAGGAGGATGAATAATAATCTTTACCATTATAGCATTTATGATATTCAGAATGCGAATCATAATCACAACACAGCTCATAATACTGATAATATAATAATAGTATACTAGTAATACTGATAATGCTAGTAGTACCAGTAGTATGATCCATCTGAACCATATTAAGACGAACGTGACTAATACTATCACTAATAATACGAACAGTACTGCAAACATCAATGATGTGAATACGAATGGCAATTCGAATGATATAAACAATCACCGCAATCATACTTCGAATAATCATATGTATACGAATACACATGCAATTAGCCATAGGAAGATCAATCATACACCAATTATTAATATTACTATTCGTATTGCACAATTAATGATACTCCAACCAATAACCACCATAACAATGCGATTGATATTTGTTGGGTTCTAACTAATAGTACTTATATGCATACTAACAACGCTAATGATCCGAATGCTACTAATACTACGAATGATGATGATGCTAAGCATCATGTAATCAGTACTAATTATACGAATGCTAACAATAGTAACACTGATGTTAGCAATCATGCGACTAATATTAAACATACTACGCATAATCATCTTAACGCTAGTACTAATGATGATGCCACTAACAATCATAATTCGACGACGAAGAACTACACTGATCTTCGTAATAGAAAATCATAATACGATTACAGAGGAGAATGGCAGTAACAATACGACGAATGTAACTACTAATGCTACATGGGGAGAAGAAGCATACTAATAAACATACGATAACAATAGTGATAAGAAGACAGGGGGGACGAAGAGGAGGAGGAGGAAGAGGATGAGGAGGAGGAGTATTATGAGGAGAAATAACACGTGGGGGAGGAGGAGGTGGAGGAGGAGGAGGATGAGGAGGAGGAGGAGGAGGAGGTGGACGAGGACAAGGAACAGAACGAAGAGGCTGAGGAGGAGGATCAGTAGGAGGAGGAGGCGGACGAAGAGGAGGAGGAGGAGGAGGAGGAGGAGGAGGATGGAAAGGAGGCCCAGGAGGAGGCACAGGAGGAGGACGAGTGGGAGGAGGAGGAGGAAGAGGAGGAGGAGGAGGAGGAGGAGGAGGAGACAGAGAAGGACAAACACGAATAATCAGAATGCGAACCAACATACTACCAATAATAGTATTACGATCACTATTACTTCTATTCATAAGAAGACTGGTACTACTACATCTAGTAATACATCTATGCGTATCACCGTCAAGCTTAACGTTCAATAGTGCTACGGCATAGATGACGAGCACTAATATCAATATGACTAATAATAACCATACGAAATCGACGGCGACGACGCATACTGGTAATACGGCGACGAAGCATGATACTAATACGAATGTTATTACTACTAAGGTGAAGGACGGAACTAAACTGAATACTACACACAGTAATACTATGCATAAGAGCAGGACATACGACCAGTGGACTAATACGAAGACGCGCCATACTAACTAAGACAACGCGCCATACGAATGATAGTAGTAGTGCTAATGCTAGTTATATTCACAAAGTCAGTACTAATATCATATACTAAAATTATACGTAGAGTAATATTATTGCTAGTGCTGACAACACAAATCACTACTATTATTACTTCTAATATTATATACTTGTTTTTTATAAGACACTGTTCAT